AACATTTGAGTGGAACACACTTTCACTTTGCTCACGCACCAATGTGGGATACATAATATACAAAATTGTAGATAAAACCCATAAGTTCCAACAATTAAACTGATTCTGCACTTTGGAATGCCATGTAACTCATACATTATCTATCCCGTAGTTGAATGAATCAAAATGCTTATGGGCTGGCTGAGATTATGAGGTTCAAGGTTGTGTTGAGTTGTCTACAGTTTAAAGTTGCTTTTTGGTGTAATCAGTGAAAGTGAAGAATAAGAGCTTTATTCAAGGGGGAGCTTGAAGTGTTCTTTGAAGCCGATCAACAGTAATGTTTTCCAAAGAAAGCAGGGGAGATAATCTGAATGCTTCAGAAGATATTTCCTTTATAAAATTTTAGGGGGAGATTGTTGGTCTAGATTAACAAAGTTAATGAAAGTTTTATAAAGTCAGTTTTATACATTGTATTGTAATATTCAGTACTATAATGGGGCTTTGGGCATTGTGATTACCTTGTAAGTGGGCTTAGAATATTAGATTGATTATCATTCATGTTAAAATGAGAGTCGACTAAGTGAGAGGATTGCTTTGTAATCTTTCTGTTTTCATAATAAATAAACAGGTCTGAGTGTTCTTCATTCATCTTGAATTGTTGTTTGTAACTGAGATTCACAATAACGTATACATTCTAGCTTATCTAATACAGCCATTTCCAACCATTATGTAAAGACTAGAACAAAAACAAACATTGTTTAATAAGGGCATTACAAACTCAATAAGTAAAACAAACAAAGACTTTTGGTTTTCAACTTACATTGTTAATTTTTGATATTATTAGGGAAAAATTCAAAAACTCAACATACTATGTATTGAGTGATTAAGTCGTCAATTTTTTTCTATTGAGCAATTAACTATTTGGACATTTTTGTGAGCGAATATTTCCCTGCACTTGTAAAACGAAAAGAATATATAACTTAGAGGTGAGTTATTATGCAATCATTTATATTTGTACAACCAATATAACTCAATCTCAACCGTCTACTTAATTTGATGAATATGTGATTTCATAAAAGTTTTGATTGTTTTCTAATATAAAATATTGATCATAATTAATGAACTCTAGTCATCTTCCATATATATTCAAATCATAATAAATAAACTATCATCATTTTCATAAATATCTCAATTGATTGGGTTGCATTGGTTGTACAAATATGATGGGTTGCATTTGAAATGTCATTTATATAATTTCTCTATGATGTATCTACATAATAGTAACGAATTACAATAAACAAATAAAACGAATTCATTTCCATTTTAGTCATTTATTTGTTTTCCATATTCAAATAACAATCTTAGAAAAAGCTATTAACCGTTTGATTTTCATTCATTGAAATTTATGGGATTATAACACATGTAATTGTCATCTGAATATGAAAAATAAATAATGACGATTTTAAGATACACCCACCTGATGCTCCAAGCGAGAGAGCACCTGATGCCTGTTTTTCAATGGTCAATTTTTTGAAAATCAAATTAGAATGAGCAAGAGTTACTACTCTCGCTTAGATGATGTTTGTTTTTTAAAAAGTGTTGAAATCTGAAGTCTTATTTCACTTCTAATTGATGAAAGTTGGTGCTGAAGTCTGAAGTCTGAAATCTGAATCAATAAGATTGTTGTTTTTATAAACTGATAAATGTATGAATTTGTTTACATTATCTATTTTACCCATTAAAAATTTATAGTGTTGCATTTATAGATAAATCTATACAATTTCACATATTTATTCATCATCATTACGAAATTTACATCTAAATTATATAATTCACATTTAATAAAAAGGAAAATAAGCCATTAACGGTTTTTAACACATTTAAGTCCTATTAAAATATATTGATTGACATAGGTGAGGATAAATTTGGTAAGGATCGATTGAGAGAAATGATGGGCGTTGTTGTTGACGGTTTGGAGAACAATAAGAGATCAATAAGACATAAATGTCTCAAAAAAATTGGAAAAAAACAGTTTGAATGGCCTTCAGATATAAGAGGCTAATAATAGTTTTTTTTTTTTTTTTTAAACAAACAAGGTCGTACATTCCTGGCTAAGATTCTCGGCTATGAAAATAGCATAGTATAAGGTTCTCTCGGCCACTTCCATTTCCCGGGTAAGATTTGTGATTAACAAAATGACACAGTAGAATAGTTGGGAAAGACCATCATCTCTTACCAAGTAAGCATCACATACCCAGTATGAGACAGTAAGGGGTCGTTTACTAAACACTTATTTGGTAAGTGTTTACCGGATAAATTTCTTTATCGGATGAACATGAGAAGGGCCAAGAATCTTATCGGGTAAAGAGCAATAAAAAGGATTGAGTCTTATCCGGTAAGTAAAGATGCCGACTCTTATCCAGTTAAGCACTTACCCAATAACTTGTTGCATTCAATATGTTTTAATGTAGTAAAATCTTACGCATCAAAATAAATATAGTGTTGACTTCTATCGATAAGCACTTACCGAGTAAGCATTTGAGTAAACGGCCCGTAAGTGTTTAGTTATCCAATAAGACGCAGCAAGTGTTTAGTAAACGACACTTTAGATTTGGTGTCACAATTTCAAGATTAACGAGCAACCATCTAACTTTTGAGGTTTAATTCCTCAGTAGACCTTAATGTATGCAGACTTGACATCTATCTCAAATAGTGATTAACGGGATGCAACACACTCATTCAATACAAAAAACAATGTGGATTATATTTGAGGCAGACCACATGGATTTAATACAAAAGAAGGTGGTGTGCTTGCTCGTATGTAACATCTTTTTCACCAGACAGAACTAGATACACAACTTTAGCATAACAATGAACAATAACTAAAACAAAAATAAATCACAACCCTTACCTGCTCTCAATCTCAAGCAAGCAAGATGGCGGTTTCATGTATGGTAAAGGAAAGAGGCAGAAATATTCTTTCGTTAATTGCCAGGAAATGCAAACCGTAATCGTTCTTTTTGGCGACTTATCATGCGATCCTTCGGGGACGATGTTTTTACTACGCCTGCTTGCCGCATAAGCTCTGCCATCATCAAAAATTGTTAGATTCCCCAAATCTAATAATATATATTTCACTTTCATGAGGAAATAAACGAAACCAAACAGGCCCAAAAAAAGTTCAACACAAATAGTCTGAAGAGAATAAAATATACATAAACGTTAGCTCCACCTAAGAGAAACGTTAGTTCTGTTTTTAAACTTTGTGCAACCACTTGTGTGAGGTATGAAAATTGTTCCAAGTGAAAGATTTGATAATGGGTTTACCCATATGGACTTGACATGTGGACGGTCTGGTCCACCCAAAACCTAACTCATAAATCTGTGTTTACTACCCACGACACCTACCAAAGTATGGGGCAATTTATTAAATCCTTACCCGGTAAATGTCTAACGGTTACATTCAAAACTATTACTTAATTACCGGGTAAAATTTTAATTTATTAAAATGGTATCTTATGTAACAATTTACCCGGTAATTGCTAACCGTGGTAAGAGTTGTGGCCCTCACTTACCAGGTAAGACTCTCGGTCCTTGTCTTGGCTCTTACCGGGTAAGATTCTTGGTCCTTGACATATACTTAGAACTTTCTTTCCTTTCTTTAATAGCCTGATCGATGAATCCCAGGAAAAGTTCCAGCATAACACTCACATCGCACTCAGAGGCAGGCCTGAACTAAATCCGTGACCACCGCATACCAGCATATGCCTTCGATCCTGACCTTCAACACCCACAGCAATTGTCTTATCAGTAGCATGCAGACCAGGCTCTCTCTCTCTTATCAATAGCGGAGATCTCAGGGTAAGGAAGCTCACCTTCTCGCTATCGGTAAGGTAGTGTAATGTGGTTTGGTAAGCTTTAACCCGGCTAGAAATGAACCAACTAGAGTTCATGAAATAGTGAATCCAACAAGGCCAACTCATTTGGGCTATGTTTGGCAAATTAGCTGATAAGAGAATTGATGGTAAATAAACCAGTTGTTAGTTGATAAGCTAACCGATAAACTAGTTATGTTTGGTAAAAGAAACCTAGCTCATTAAGTAAGAGGAAATTTGAAAAATTAATTGGAAAAATATAAAGGGGGTAATTGAAAGAATAAATAACCCGGGAACTTATTGAAATGCTACTTGAAGTAGTACTTTAAAAAGTTAGCTTATAGCACTTTATAAGGTTAGCTTATAAGCTAGTTTTTTTTTTTTTAAATATGGCTAACAAAAAAGGGCTTTTTCAATAAACACAAAATAAACTGGATTATATTTGCCAAACATAGCCTTGGTATAACAACTCCCACAAATTTCTTATCCCCATTGTACATGTTTTTCCTTCTGGTTGCACGTCAAACCACCCCACTAAATCATAGTAGCTTGTTACCTCATCCCATAAAAAGCTTATCGTTCAACTTCAATGGTAATCAAGCTTGTTTTTGTCTCATCCACCCTGCTTGCTGGTTTCTTCATGATATATGAGACTTATCTTAAATAATGAAAAGTATCCTTACCAACTTGTATGGATATATACATAACTGTCTATATGTATTAACCATTCGATCTAATATCTAACTAAAATTAACCATTCATTATATCATATCAACCATCCATTACTATATATATAGGGAAGGATTCTTGTGAGAACCAAAAACATTTTAGAACCGTGAGAACCAATATAATCGTCGATGCATATACACTATCAAAATGTGTGTTCTGTCAATAAGTATATTCATCAATGCGTATGTACTATGTATGCAAGTATCAAAATGTGTATTCTCACGGTTCTGAGAATATTTACGGTTCTATTGACTAATTTTCTTTCTATGTATATGTAGTGGAAAATCAGTCAATCTATATGTAGACCATTGGTAGTGTATTCTCTCCTGGATAGAGGCGAGCAGACATGAGTTCTCTTAAAGCACCGGCAATGTTGTATTATGAGCATGTGTTGTTGTTCACAACTAAAAGGTTAGGTTTTGCTTTGTAAAGATACAACTTTCGAATGGTTTGACTATAAAAACCAAATTTTTAGTAGAGGGCGAATACATGTATTTAGTACAATTGGTCCATAATCCATGCAAAAAAATTGTTGAATTTTTATATGAACCATGGAGCCAAATGAAATTGTCCTTAATCATGAATGCAATGTGCAATATATCAATGTAAAGAACGCATGGTGAAGATATGGATGATGTAAAGAACACATGGTGAATGATAGATGGATGACATGCGGCTGCTATTTCGTAAAGATGCATGCCGTCATGGATGAATCATGCATGACTCCATGGTGAATCAACCTAATTAATATGCATGCTAGCTTACTTGCTTGCAGGTCTCTCTACAATACAAAGTAAAAGAACTAGAACTATAAATAATGGAAGAAAAAACTTGCCTCGTTTTCTTTCAAGCTCTTCAGCGAGTTCTTCCTTCCATCTTCTTTGCATATCCGAGAAGTTTGCGCTATAAATACAATATTTAAGCCTCCACTTCATACTAGTAACCACAAATAAGCTCATTTTGGAGAAACAAAGTTAAGGATTAGAGATTCGTCACAAACCTTGGACTAATGGCCTCTAGCTGTGAATCATGAATGTTCTCTTTCACCTGACCATGCTCAGGTGAACGACATTCTTGTGGGTTTCGATCATTTACACCACCAATATGTGACACGCGCTCAGAATTATTACCAGCGCTACCAATATAGGAAATGTTAACAGCTGAAGATAGCCTCTTTCTTAGCAGCCTATTAGGTGATTTGCTTTTAGGAGGTAAGTTCAGGTTGTTGGATAAGTTTTCCTTGTTTTCGCTCCCAACGGGACAAACGGCTGCATTCAAAGAGTTGTAAAATTCTTCATATAGAGGCGTTTGCATCTTCTTCAGATCTAAAGCCTGTTTAACAACACAAAGGTAGCTGAAAAGTTAAGATCTACCTCCACTATTTCACATATTTTCTTGTATGGTTGTACCTACTGCTTGCATGTTGTTTACTTAGTTCGATTTTATTATTTTATTATTTTCTGGTTTCGTTCTTCTTTTCCAAACCATCACCCTTTGTCATTTCCTCTATTTCTTTAGGGAAGCATTCTATTTTTTCCACACACTTCTCACAAGTGGGGGATGGGGGGTCCTTCACAGAAACGGTCTCTCTACCCTTTGAGGGTAGAGGTCAAAGACTACATGCATCCCACCGCCCAGACCCCACCTTCGGGTGGGATATGCTGGGCGCCTCCGATTTTATATGTTTATCTAGGTGTGTGTACCAAGTCATGTTTTAATGTCTGCTTGATTGTTAACTCGTAGAAAAGAAATCCTGGGAAAAAAAAAACTGCACCTTCTCGTCCAGGAATGCAATTATCTTTGTTTCTGTAAGTTCTTCTTCCTCCTCCATTCCTGAAGCCCCACTTGGAAAGGTGAAACCATTATCTTCATTGCCTAATGCTCCATGGGTTTCTGCAGTTGTCTCAGAAAATTGATCTGGACGTAAGTTAGCTGCATTCTTGCTTAGTTCTGGACTTCCATCAAACTGGCACGACCAGTCATCATCAGGTTCAATCATGGGATTAAAACTCTGTCTCCGATTAGATAGCAAATCTCGTTAGCATTGAATGAAACCACAACCCAAAGAATGATATATCGGCATTGATGCAGTTGTTACCTTATTGACATCAAGAGAAGGTAAAGTAGAATCAAACTTCATAGATGTGCTAGCCATGAGATCGTCATCATCCATCTGACACATGTCATCATTGTATCTATTTGAACCCCACATGGGCCCTTGAGAAAATTTCTCAGGGTATATAGTCGAGCACCTCACACTATTCATACCATGAACATCCACCATACCACGGCTTGTTTTCATCTCCGGGCTAACACTGCATCAGCAACCACCTTTTTATTCGTTATTGCAAAAACTGAAATAACTAATAATCAAGAAGGTGGTGGTGAAAAATCTTACGGATTCCTAGGGTCCTTCGTAGATGTTGGTATTTTATTGGCAGGGGTTTCCTGATACCACAAAAGTGTCAAGATTAGTAGAAGAATGGTTAAAGTATCTTTGGTTTTCAAGGACTGAATCAAGGTGGCTTCACGCAATAATACCGACCATAACTGATGTGCGAAAGACAGGATGAGTCTCCTCATACTCCCCAGTAACAAAACGATGCTGTAGAGAATGAGCAAACACCATAAAACCAAAACTTTTAGTTTATTAAGCAAATAAGTTCAATGGAAAAGATAATCCACGTTCCCAATTTCGACAGTTTCATTATTATTTTGGGTGCCCCTTTATCATAATTCATAAAACTATTTCATTTTTACCCTTAAAATTTGTGAATGTTCTACAGGTACTACTTCCTAGACTACTTTAGTGAGCATATGCAAGTGACCCTCTTAATACATGCACATTCTCCATTTCTACATGTATATCACCTTCTCTGCTTAATTTCATTATTTATAACGAAAGAACGGAGACCATTAGTTGGCTTATAATAATAAGAAAATAAGTGGATGTTTAAAATAAACTGGCAAAATATGGTTTTCTTAACATTTTTGTCATTTCCAAAATGATCATTGAACTAAAATACTTCGGCAAATAACTGTGGCTCACATGTGCAAGCAACATGCTTCTATCACAGAAATTAAACATTTCATTTCCAATTTAGTAAAGTTCGTAATGGATAATCACCTGCAGCAATTCTGATGCATTAGGCCTGAGATTCGGTTCCCTGCCAACAGATTGGCCATTTGAGGGTAAGAAATAAAATAAACACTTAAATAAGCAGAGGATATTATGAACTTAATCCAAACCGGACATACATGTAGGTTACACATAAAAAATTTAAAAATGAGTAGTTGTGGCATAAAGATGAACAAATTAATAGAAACTTGTATGAGAAAAAGAAATTATTACTTTTGGAGGCATTTTAACAGAAAATCCTTTGCCTCAGCAGAAAGATGGTCTGGTATAGGTGGATGAGCTTTTGTTGTTCCTATATGAAAGAGAGCAGCAACCTGAAGGAAACACCCATGATTTAGTACACTACTGCTAGAAAAAATATCACAGATGATTCTACAACATTAGGAAAGCAGCAAGCATATCACAGTGTGAGACACAATCACAATGCATAGATCAATACATCTAAATACCTCCTGATACTGTTGGCTCCAAGGAGGCTTTCCAGTTGCCATCTCGATTACAGTACATCCGACACTCCATATATCAGCAGAGCTACAAAAACAAATAACAAGACTTAATCCATCTAATATTGCAAGTGAGTCGACACCATAAATATTATTATTTCTTATAGACAAAAGTAACAGAATCCATTGAGACGATAGTTTTGAGAATGCTTGAAGAAAATCATGGGAGAGCACAAACTGAGATACAAAATTCAATAGAAATAACATTTGCAAGTGGCCACTGACCAAACTACTCCAAAGGAGCACCAGAAATGCATTTCTAACGACCAAAGCATTCAGATTCTTATTAAGAGATAACACAGAAGAAAACAAACGATAATCCAGTAGCATGAGTTGTGTGATTTCACTAACAAGCTATGGCCAGTCTGGAGTATAACTTCAGGAGCCATCCAATACGGGGTACCCTTCATTGACTTGGCACCAGTCATTGTAGCCTACAGAAAAATATGCAAGCTCACAGTAACAAATAAAAGAAATTCAAACAGGAAAAGCCAATGAGGATACAGAGAAAAATATTTAAATAATACAGGACATAGCATGCATACCAGCTCTACAACTTTCTTGGAGGCACCAAAATCTGCAAGTTTGATTCGGCCTTTATTATCAACAAGAATATTTGCTCCCTGCAAGACCATTTGTTACACAAAAGTCTATACATGGCTATCTCGATACATTAGAACAGACAAACACACGCCAACTTGCTGGGATATTTCCACATGTATGCATACATATAGAGAGAAGCAATTAGGCCTAGATAGACCATGCAGATGATATACCTTAATGTCCCTGTGCATGATACCATTTTTATGGAGATACTCCAGCCCCACCAATAGTTGCTTTGTGTACATCCGTAGCACCTGCTCCATGTACAAACTAGAGATAAGTTTTAAGTTTCAAACATCTAAATGCTAAATTTAAAAGGCAACTTCTAGAGTTCCAAGAGCATTTCTTTGCTATATATTCTGAGCCTTTGTAAAAGCAGATAAGAAGACAACTGTGCAGAGCAGTTGAGCTTTAGAGGAGAAGGGCAGTCTTTAGTCCCATGAGGCTTTCAAGAACCAAATTTCTAAATTCACAACATTTTTCTAACCTTCGGCAAGTAAAAAGAATCCACAATTGAGATTCAAATCATGGTGAAGTAACTTACAGATTCAGGGAAGGAACCAAATTTTCCGAGGAGCGACGAGATGGATCCACCAGGAACAAATTCCAGGAAGATATTCAACGACTCCTCCTCTCTAGCAGTTCCTAGGTACCTCTTTAACCAAATAAAAATAGCTAGATAAGACTACGATAAGAACTGGCATTAACCAAATGCAAGATGATAAAAATTATAACCACTTACAACAATGTTTGGATGCGAAAGATTCTTTAATAGCTTCACCTCTTCTTCGAGCTCTCGGATATGAGCCTATCATGTGTGAGAAAATGCCATTAAACTACCATAGCCATCTTTGAATGCAATAAAATTTGAAACCTCGATACATGATCATCTCTGTTTGTTCATTACAAAACACTAAGCTACATAAGTCAGTAGAACACTCTCATGCAAGCGCAAGAACTACAATGTGTTATACAATATACATTCAGTCTGTATGGATGCCGATTAAACTTTAAACCTGAATAGACAGAACTAAAAATTACTTGGTAGGTGGATGAAAAATACCAGCTTATCTTGCTCAGTTTATATACAAAACTTGCTAGCATAAGTTTATATGCTGAAGGTAAAAACTCAAGCCTGCTATAATCTATAATCACAAGTCAAATTTTTCAGTAACAAAGCTTACTTTTCTCAATTTCATATGCTAAGAAAATAAATACATGACTAAACCATTTATCTTCTATGCCACGAGTCAAATCTTGAATTTAATTTTATTCATGTCAAACTTACTAGATTGAGTAGATTCCCAAAAATTTCCTTCTGTCTTAATGTAATTAGCTACCAGAAAATTAGTGGGTAATGTATGCACGGTTATGGGACTCCCTTCACCAAACAATGCGGAAAAGAAGTAGTTTGTATGATACAAGGTGAGTTTTCAATTTGTATTTTATTGTCTTGTGAAAGAACTACTACTTCGAATAGTAATATCCTGAATTAGATCATGATGCATTAGCTAGTAGACCAGATTGTGATTGCTTAGTTGGATAATCAATCAGATCAAATCACTAGTTGATCCCAATCTGAGCCATTAACACCCCAAGGTAAACTAAGAAACGGTCAGATTATTTAGCAAGCAAGTGATTGAAGACAATTGCATGTTTCTGAAGATCCGTCCAAGTTCAAAGCGATGTCCTATCACAACCATGAATGTTTGAAACCCACGTAAATAGAGACATACCTGAGTTTTGTCCTTTGAAGCAGTATTTACAACCACAGAAACCTGCATATGATCACGCCAACGTCAATGTCAAATCTATAAGATTAACTACTACCACAAGTAACATATCTTATAAACCAATTACGCCTTAAAAACCAGTTGCACGACTTTGCACCTGCTTGACAGCAAGTAACTCCCCTGAGTCAAGATTCATCCCCATATAAACCCTACCAAACGCTCCACAACCAATTAATTCTCCTTTCCGCCATCGGATCTGGGAACCGCCCTCGTCTTTTTTCTTCTTCCCCACCGCTCTGCTTTTGTCAATCGGAGAAGGTAGTGCCTGAATGGACGACTTAGTGAAAAGTCCCATTTTTGATTTACGAATGCTTGAACCGATCTTTTCAACAAAGCCACCGAAAGAACCACCACCAACACCATCTTCATTTCCACCGCCGCCGGCCGAGGGTTTGAACACTAGGGATCGACGAACGGAGCCGATAAAATCCTGCATCACTTGGCAACCAAATGAAGAATTTGTGGTTAATCAAGTGAAAAATTCGAAGGTTGTTTCCTTCCTTCACTTGCAATGATGCGATGACCAGAGAGATAGAGAGAGAGAGAGGAGGGAACCGTTGGAGAAATTGGTTTTCAAAAAATGCAAAAATAAACAAATCGAAAATGGTTAGTTTACGTTGGAGACTCTTCACTTTAAAAGTCTCATTTTCAAAGGTGGTGTTTATTTTTTATTTAATAAACAATAACATGCTTTTATTATTTGAATTATAATTTTGTTATATAAATTATAGTACCATTTCAAATTGGCATTAAATAATTATGATAAAAAACACTCTTGTAAGTTAACTTATTTTAAAAGTTTAATTGTTTAAGGGGCGGTTTACCTAAACACTTATTCGGTAAACATTTATCAGTAAAATTCAACACTATTGCTTAGTTATCGGGCAAGATTTTATTCACTAAAACATATCGCAACCATGGTAAGAATCATCGTCTTCACTTACCGGGTAAGACTCTCGATTGTTGCATTCACTCTTACCAGGTAAGATTATTAGTCCTTGTCATATTCATCCGATAAAGTAAAGTGACTTAGTAAGTGCTTACCCAGGTAAGCGTTTGGTAAACGGTACCTAAGTAACGGTTTTAATTTTAATAAATTAGTTGTGTAGTTAGATAATGTAGCAGATGTAACATCGATTATCTTTATCTATATTAAGAGCATCTTCAATGCAAGTTTATTGCAAAGGTTTTTACTATTTGAAAAAGTCATTGAGGTAGCGTTTGGTACGCAGACAGGAGAGGACAAGAGGATAGGACTGGACGGGACAGAATAAGTGTATGTCTGATGTTTGGTACGACTAGGATGGACGGGACAGAACTAGACAAGTTACCCCAAAAGTTATTTGAAGATTTTAAATATTATATAATAGTTATAATTAACACATATAAAGTAAATAATTAAAGAATACATACATATATAATGGCACCAAATTTGAATAAAAATTTTGATATAATTGATGGTAGTAGTGGTGGTGGTGGTTTTGGTTATGGTGGAGGTGGTGGAGGTGGTGGTGGTCGGTGGCTAACGGTGGTTATGGATGTAGAGGTAACGATGGTTAGTGGACGACGGTAGGGTTGTGCAAAACCCGAGCCCACCCGAAATACCCGACTTACCCGCCCGAAGATACCCGACCCGAAACCAAAGAAGTCGCCCCGAAGAAACCCGATATCCGAAGCCGACATGTAACTCGGATATGGCAGATTGGGTAGGATCTCACGATCCACCCCCCGAACCCGCCCGAAATCCGAACTAAACAACCCTACTATTAAGCGATTAAGTGACTTATGTAGATTAGGTCAAAATTGATGCTACTCTCGGCGACTTATGTTAGGTCAAATTTGACGCGAGAAGAGAATACAGCTACTGCCCGACTAGTAAACTACAGACCGCCGGTGTCAACTGACCGACTCCGACCAGCTACCGACTGGTGACTGTGGTGAGTGCCCGCCGACTGACCGACTGGTCCCTTTTCACTTGTTCTCTTCGTAATCATATTTTTGGATAAATATGTCTGATTACAAGCATCAGATTGTTGGTTGTTTACTTGTTTACTTAAAATGGCTTTGTAATATACCTATAGGCAGATTGTTGGTTGTTTACTCTTCATTCTAATTGTCTACTTCATGGTGGGGATGATACCAACCACTTAGTCACTTTTCCTAACTCAGATTATAGTCTTCTTGTTCTTGTACATTGTTGCAGCTCATGTATGGCTACCAGAAATAACATACCTATATGCAGAAGAAATAACATACCTATTTGCTGATTTATCGGCTGCCATTCACCCGAACCCGACCCGAAACAGCCCCGAACCCGATTAGGCCCGACCCCGATTAGACCCGAACCCCGAACAGTACACTTCGGGTTGTGGTTTTTTACCCCGAAACCCGATCGGGTTAGTGATTTCCGGGTCCGACCCGACCCGACCGATGCACAGCCCTAGACGACGGTGGTTATAGCGGACCTGAAGATGGCGGATTATGGTGGTAGTGTCGGTTGACAATGATGGAGGAGGTAGTTGTGGCTGATGTAATAAAGATAGTCGTGGTGGTGGTTATGGTGGAGGTGAGGTGGCAATGGACGATGGTGGTCGATGGTCGATGATGGTCGTGGAGGATGTTGTTGCAGTAGTGGAGGAGTTGGAGATGGCTAACCATGGTAGTGGTGGTGGCAGCGGATGGTGGTGGTCGGTGGCCGATGGTAGTTGTAGAGATGGCAATAGACAGTAGTGGTCGGTGGTGATTATGGAGGTCATGGAGAAGGTTGTTGTGGTATAGGAGGAGTTGGAGGTGGCCAACGGTGGTAGTGTTGGTGGTAATGGGTGGTGTTGGTCGGTGGCCAATGGTGGTTGTAAAGGTGGCAATGGATGGTGGTAGTCGGTGGTCGACGGTGGTTATAGAGGTGGTGAAGGAGGTTGTTGTAGTAGAGAAGGTGGTGAAGGCGGTAATGGTGGTGAGAATGGACGGTGGTGAACAGTGCTCGACTACGGTAGAGGTGGCGATGGACGATAGTGGACGGTAATTGTGGAGGCGGCGGAGGGTGTTGTTGTAATGGAAGAGTAGGGGGAGGTGGAGGTGGCCGAGGAGACCACCGGTGGTGAAGGCCGACGAAACTAGCGGTGATGACCATTAAAACAAATATCATATTAAAGTTATATATCAAACAAGGGTAGTTTATTAATATTTTAGTTTTTATCTCATTCTTGTCCCATCTTGTTCCACCTATTTTGTTGGAACAAGAAAAAACCTCTTTTGTCCCGCACTGTCCCAATTATTGTCCTTGTCCCATGTCACACCAAAAATGGGATGGTGAGTTCTTGTTCTGTCCTATGTTGCGCCAAACATGTAATAGTGAGTTTTGTTTTTGTCATGTCCCATGTACCAAATGCAGCACGAGAAGACTCTTTGCATTGGAGCCATAATGACGGATGTCGAGTCCACCAAATAATAAAGTCCAACTAACGACTAGTTACAACCAAAATTGTAGTAGTGTAAGTTGGGTCGAATCTACAGAGACTCGGTCTAACGTCGTACGACTAGCGAATCAAGTACACGATGAAAACGTAAAAATTAATAATTACGAGGGGAGTGTTAGATTTTATTAATTACTCTAAACATGCGATAAAATATAAATTAAAACAATTGATTAAAGACCCAACATTGATTCAATACCGATTAAGATGTTATTACCTATCATCGATTCCAAATATCTAAACGGAAAGGACAAGCCCGAATTGGTTTTAATTGTTAACAAGCTCTAACGACCCAAATTTTCCATAGATAATCGTTGATTAAAATAAGCTCTATAATCAACTCTTAACCACAAATAAAAGTTTAAATAAGCTCTTATACTCATAGATGCGATTAGCTTTACCGGACTAGAAAAAGTACCAATTCAAGCCATAAGTTCGGCTTATTGAGGCTTAAATCGCGAGATTTCAAATATTCAATTCGGGAACCTTATCGAAACCAAATGAATACTATCGTTACTCTATCAAAATTCTAAGACGATTACGTATCTAATAATTTTAAATAACCATTCCATAAGAGAATTCCAATAAGTTAGCTAAACTAATTGAGAATCCAAATATGATTAACATTAAGTTCATAAATCAAGCAAATAAGCTTGTTCAAACATGATTACGATGAAATCTCAAAGCAATAACAAATCAAAACCTAATTAAATTAATGTTGGAATGAAAAAAGCTAGCCACTCATGGCAAAACCTAGTTTACAATTGAAAACAAAAATCTGAAAATTACCTAAAACAAGATGAAATTGATGAATCTTCTCTACAAGTCATCACTCTCTTCTCCTCTTGAAATTGAAAATGAGATTCCAAAGTAATTCCCCCCCCCCCCAATTGACTGTTAGAATCGGGTTTTTATACCCCCTAGATGAGAAGAAACTGCTTTAATTTCGTGAGAACGTGGAATCAGCCCCTGAAATCAGACGTGCGCGGGACATGCGCGGCTGTGGTCGCAGCTCTGGTCGATGAAATATGGAGAGGATATGGGCTGCTATTTGGTGCTTGATGAAGTCCACAAGAGATAGGTCAAAACTTGGGCTTTTGCTTTTTTTTGGGGGGGGGGGGGCCTGGACTCTACAAAATAGTACATAGGTTAAAAAAACACATTTATTCACAAAATGATGAAGATAAAGGGCTTCTTAACTTTAATTTTTAACCAAGAAAATATAGCTATCAAAACATCCCACACTTAGAACTTTGATCGTCCTCGGGCAAACACTACGAATTTATCATGAGTTGATTTTTAGAGAACGGATAAAAATACATAGCATTTCACGAAGGTTCGACTAAACCATACTAGCGAAAATTAACACACGAGACAAACCAAAGATGAGAACATGCTAATTTCACAAACACCTCACAAAAGATATATGCAATACAATCTCTCATTCACACAATGGTGTAGGTGTTTACACTCAAAACATCAATTCACATGCACATACACTACCATAGTCTTGAATTAGGTCTCGATTCCCCATCGCTTATGGTCAACCTAGGTGTGGATCAAAAAGGTCTTTAGTAAGGGTTTAACGTGGCTAAGGGTCAAGGTAGGGTATAGTTTGGTGAAGTGACTAAAAATGGACCTTGGAAAGGAAACTACAACTCAAACATGACTCCCGTGCCTTGTCAAAGCGATCACAAAGTTTCTCAATCTCTTAGCTCTTATTCGCTAAAAACACTATGGAGACAATTGTGTTTCTTCCATTGTTCGGTCTCCATTTATTCATTTTTTTTCTTTTCATTTCCACATATGGAACATATATTTTTTCTCTTTTTCTTTTTCTTTTTTTTTTCTCGAACCTCTACCGATCATTATATAGGTGTTGAGGATTGTGTAGATGGTATAAAGATCATACAACAAACACTTCTAACTAAGAGTATGTAGTCTCATTCCAAAGTCCGGTAAGGGAAGTGTTTAGCTTAAGGGTTAACTTGTGGTGTTAAAGTCAAGAAAATAGGTGGTTAGGCTCAAAAGGGTGATCAAAAAGGACAAATGCATAAATGTTGGCTTTTAGGTTAAATGGTTAAAAGAAAAACATCAAAGATGGCCTTTGTCATTTCCACACACTAGTATTGCCCTAGATGCAATCTTGAAGAGACCTAACGCAAGTTATAGAGTGAGATGAACATGGAAGATGCAATGCACACAAAAATGAAATGGGATCGAAAATAGTGTTCGACCATGTCTTAAAAGCTCACAGGTGCATTTTGTCTATAAAATTAGCAAGCCTCACAAAAGTTATCTCAAATGTGCTCACGACTAACAAGTAAGTCATACAATCGTTCATGCTATGGTGTTTATGGCATTGAAAATCAAGAAAATCGTCACGCATGCAATTCACTTAACAAATGCCCAAAATAAAGCCAAAAGTTCGAAAATTTTAGCCCTTTCTAACACACTTCGCACATCCCCACACTAATTCTCTCCCCACATTTGAACCATATATTGTCCTCAATGTATGCATTCATTGGCGTAGTCTAAAACATTAAAAAGCAAAGGGAATGAGAAAACTCCCATGGATATGTAGACTTGTGCCCAATACGCGGTAAAAGCCTCTTTGCACCCCGAGGGGGTGTGGAATGTCAATACTCACAAGAATGCCAACCTGGGAAAGCAACTCATCAATCTCGAAAGACAACTAAAACTAAAAGAAACTAAAATAGAACGGAAATAAAGTAATAAAATTTGGGTTGCCTCCCAAACAGCACCTTTCATTAACGTCTTTGGCTAGACACTACCTAAAGTAACTAACAACGGGCAGTGGCTCAAGAGCCATAACATCAATGTTCGTAGACTGAAAACCTTCATAAAAGGTTTCAGTCTATGCCCGTTCACCTTAAATGACTTACTCGTTTTTGGGCTTTCAATATCGACTGCTCCATGAGCATAAACCTTAACAACTATTAAAAGACCAACCCATCGTGATCTAAGCTTACCGGGAAACAGCTTTAGGCATGAATGAAAGAGTAAAACCTTTTGTCTGACCACAAACTCTTTCCGGGAGATGAGCTTGTCGTAGAAAGCCTTGGTCCGCTCCTTGTAGATATTGGAGCTCTCGTATGCGTCATTTTTGATTTCCTCTAACTTTTGAAATTGTAGCTTCCTTAGAACTCCCGCGTCATCCATCCGCATGCTACACTTCTTGACAACCCAAAAGGTCTTGTGCTTTAGTTCAACAGGTAGATGACATGGTTTACCATAAACTAATCAAAAAGGGGACATACATATAGGTGTTTTGTGAGCCGTACGGTAGGCCCACAAAGCATCGTTCAAACGCTCAGTCCAATCCTTGCGATTAGGATTTACGGTCTTCTTTAGAATGGATTTGATATCCCTATTAGAGACTTCGGCTTTCTCGTTGGATTGAGGATGGTATGCGGTTGAAATCCGATGAGTGACATGGTACTTCTTAAACAGCGCCTCGATCACTTTATTGCAAAAGTGCGTCCCTTGATCGCTTATGACGACCCTTGGTGTGCCGAACCTAGCGAAGATGTTAGATCTAAGGAAAGCTGAAACAGTACGAGCATCGACAGTTCTGGTGGCTTTAGCTTTCACCCATTTCGAGACATAATTGACACACAAACAAAATATAGGTAAATCCAATAGAAGCGGGAAAGGGTCCCTTGAAATCAATGCCCCATACATCAAAGATTTCACAAACAAAAATCAGGTTTTGAGGCATTTGATTTCATGGTCCGATATTCCCCGTCTTTTGGCACATATCACAATTCTTGAAAAACATATAAGCGTCTTTAAAAATGGATGGCCAAAACAATCCACAATTAAGCACTTTGTGTGTCGTACGCTTTGGACCAAAATGTCCCCCACAAGCATATTCGTGACAAATCGAAGTACACTTTGTACTTCATGTTGGGGGACACATCGTCTGATAATCTGATCAGAACAATGCTTCTAAAGGTAGGGTTCATCCCAAACATAATACTTCGCTTGACTCTTAATCCTATCCTTTTCAGTTCAAGTCAACATACCTGGCAAAGTGTTAGTAACTAGATAGTTCACTAAGTCGGCATACCAAGGTGTCGTCTCTTGAACGGTCAGAAGATGCTCGTTCAGAAATTCATCCTTCAAGGTAGAAGGATCCTCACCATTTAGCAAATGGCTCAAATGATCGGCCACCAAGTTCTCTGATCCGCTCTTATCCAGAATCTCTAGGTTGAACTCTTGTAAAAGCAACATCCAACGGATAAGGCGAGGCTTGGCGTCCTTCTTCTTCATTAAATATTATGAGTTGCATGATTAGAAAAAACTATCACTTTAGTACCAAGTAAATACTGATGAAACTTCTCTAAAGCAAATACTATGGCCAAAAGCTCCTTCTCGGTCGTTGAATAGTTGCTTTGGGCACTATCCAACGTCCGAGAAGCATAATATATCATGTGTGGGTCCTTAACAAACTTCTGTCCCAAAACAGCCCTGACCGCGTAATTACTCGCATCACACATGATCTCAAAAGGGAGATCCCAATTTAGGGGCTGAATTATGGGTGCAGAAGTTAACTTATCTTTTAATTCATTTAATGCCTTCTTGCATTCACCATCGAAGTAGAAGTCCACGTCCTTTTGTAAGAGACAACAAAGTGGTCGGGTTATCTTCAAAAAATCTTTAATGAATCTCCTATAGAACCCTACATAACCAAGGAAGAACGGACTTCCCTAACAGAAATGGGGTAAGGTAGAGTTTTAATTACATCTATTTTGGACTTGTCTACCTCTATACCATTCTTTGAAACAACATGACCCAAGATAAGACCATGACTAACCATAAAGTGACATTTTTCATAATTCAAAACAAGGTTAGTCTTTATGCATCTTTTTAAACCTTGGTCAAATTATTCAAACAGTCCTCAAATGAGTTACCATAAACACCTCAATGATACTCTCTACATACTCAAAAAAGATACTTACCATGCAATGTTGAAAAGTATCTGGTGCGTTACAAAGGCCAAAAGGCATACGCCTATAGGCAAACATACCAAACGGGCATGTAAAAGTAGTCTTTTCCTGGTCCTCCGGCGCTACCGAGATTTAATGGAAACCGAAGTATCCATCTAGACAACAGTAGTGAGACTTTCTCGCTAATCGTTCCAATATTTGGTCGATAAAGGGAAGTGGAAAATGATCATTTCTTGTGGACGATTTCAACCTTCTATAGTCGATGCATACTCGCCATCCATTTTGGACTTGAGTAGGCACCTACTCACCTTCGGTGTTCCTAACTACCGTCAAACCCATCTTTTTGGGTACTACTTGAATAGGGCTTACCCATTTGCTATCTGAAATTGAATAGATAATACATGTGTCAAGGAGTTTAAGGATCTCATTTTTCACTACCTCCATCATAGGCGGATTGAGGCATCGTTGAGCTTCACGGAAAGGATTGTAGTCATCCTCGGGTAGAATCTTATGCATACAAACTGAGGGGCTCAATCCATTGATATCAGCTATAGTGCAGTCGATCACCTCCTTATGCTCTTCAAGCACATTCACCAACCGTTTTTCTTCTTCGCTTGACAGCTCAGTAGAAATGATCACCGGTAGAGTATTGTCCTTGCCTAGGTAGGCATACTTGAGGTGGTCCAGTAACTCCTTCAAGTCAAGTACCGGGGCCTACAAAATAGAAAGAAATAGCTTAGTGTAAGAAGACGGTAAATTAACATTTGATACCTGAAACTTTGTATGTCGATTAGATTCCATGGCTAAGACTATCTCTTTAAGCTCGGGCCCTAAATCATACTCCTTCATCAACAAATTAACTGTCCTTGCATCTAGGTGCCTTGTAATCGCAACCTCCAACAAATTTCGGTTAGTCAAGTCATACAAATCATGAGTAATAAGATCCAAAACATCAACAAAACTGACAGAAGACACATCACTGGGATATCTAATGGCATCATAGATATTAAATTTAATAACCTCATCATCAAATTCCATAGTTAGCGTACCATCATGAACATCAATTTTTGTTTTTGATGTTTTCAGAAATGGTCTTCCCAACAATATCAAAGGTGATTTGGAGGTATTATGTTCCTCCATATCTATGACATAGAAATCAGCCGGGAAGACCAACTCGTTAACTTGAACCAACACATCCTCAAGGACTCCCTTGGGATACACATTCGACCTATCGGCGAGTTGTATAACAACTCCCGTCCTCTCAAGAGGTCCCACATTTAGTGATGAATAAATCGAGTAAGGCATGGCATTTATAGATGCGCCTAAGTCTAACATGGCTTTATCTAATGAAACATTACCTAACTTACAAGGAATAGTAAACATACCTGGGTCCTTGCACTTAGGTGGCATCTTCTCTTCTTGAAGCACGGCAGATACATTCTCGCCCATGCTAACCTTCTTGTTCCCGATTAACTTCTTCTTGTTCGTATACAACTCCTTCAAAAACTTAGCATATCGAGGTACTCTTTTAATAACATCTAAGAGTGGAATGTTTACCTCAACTCGGCGAAAAGTCTCTATAATCTCCTTGTCTTCTTGCTCCTTCTTCGTTTGCTAGAATCTCTTTTGGGAATGGTGGTTGGATGACCAATTCGGGCGCCTTTCTTTTGTCCTCTATGTTTTTACCATCAACCTTATCTTCATTTGACTTGTCGCCCGTAATCTGAGCCTCTTTCTCTTCTTTCCTCTCGCTCCTTCTTGCTTTGGGTTCGGGATCCGGAACCGTCCGGTTTCTCAAAGTAATGGCACTAACATTAGTTTTCAGGTTAATTTCAGTTTGGGACGGTAACTTACTGATAAGTATCAACTTTTTTGATGCTTTTACACATTTTCTTACTTTATTTATCCATTTTATTTTCCTAAAATTCCGCAAATTGAGTCTTTTTGTTTTATTTTTCTATCTTTTTTATATTGGAGCTAAATTGATGTGATAAACATGTTTACTTCTTGGATATGTGCTGATTTTTGGAAAAAGAGCCATGTTAATAGGTGTTTGGCTGAAGCATGTTACATCGTGTGCTGCAGGATGATTCGAGGGGTGTTTTTTAGAATAGTATGGAAGATCTTTTGATGTCCAATCCTCTTTTTTGGCAGCCCATCTTCTGTAGTTTTAAAGATCTTATGGTACAAATTTAAGATCTTCTATTTGACTAATTTTTGGGTAAACATTGCTTTACCCATTAGACAATGAAAAAGTTGGTTAAAAGCTTTATTTTTGGGTCTTTGTCCTCCCTTCTCCTACTATATAAAGGAAGGAGGCTTGACATTTTTGAAGCAAACAATTTAGTAAGAAACTTGAAGTAATTTTGTTAGTAACTTTGTATTTAAGTTGGAAGTTCTCTTGGGTATGAAAATAGTGTTTGGAAGTATTTTAACTTCTCTTTGCATTTAAGTCTCCTTTATAATTCCTCTTTACATTTATTTCCTCTATTATCTTTTCTTCTCTTGTGCTCTACTTATTATGATTTATTATTTATGTATTTAATATTATTATTTCAAGTATGGTAGCCTAAAAATATAGCTTGGGTGTTGGGTGATTTTAAGAGAAATACCGATTTCATTGTAGAAATATAAATAATAAATCTTTTCAACTACGTCATTCAAGTTGTTATTGCAAAAACACCATCCATGGACAAGTTGATCACTTGTTTAAAAGTGTTAAAGTGTGTTGGATTTAGAGATAAACCAACAAGCACACGTCAACTTGAATGATATGGAAGTAGGCTCGAGAGAGCTACTTAGAATCGAGGAGACTCGTTTTCACTCCATTTAGAATAGTTTGAGCCAATGTCGAGACTCCAGACTTGCATAGAGATATGAAGGTTTAATCTATGACTGTGTGCCATTCTAAATCTTGAGAGAGTACCCTAAAGAAGCTATTAGTTGTAAAGATAAGTTATTTATAAAGCATGCTATAAAACCATGATGTAGCATGCTGTCTACTTAAAAATCGGTTTAATATCTTAACAAATCCCTACACCCTAAGCTCTCTTTTATTACTTGTTCATAACAGTAGTGTCAAACCAACTCACCACAAATATTTCTCCGAACTCACCATCTGAAATCATATCTTTATTTAGAATATTAAAACGAACTTTTATTCCTTTTCCCCGTAGACGATATTCGGTATTTTTACCACTTTATTACTTATAAAAGACGATAGTGGATTGATAAGTATATACTTGCACTAGTCTCCATTTGCTAACAGTCCGAGAGATTTATTTTATATAATTTTCGTAACAAGTTTTTGCCGCCGCTGCAGGGGATTAGGCAAAAGTTTTTTTTTAGTAAATCTAAAGATTTGATTTTTCTACCATCTTGTCACTTGACTTTAGGTGTGGTGTATGCCAAGGCTACCACATGGGGAGATTTTTGAATTGAATCCGGATATTGAGAGAACTTTCAGACAAAGACGAAGAGTGCAAAGAGCATTATTATATACTCTAACCTCTTCCAATATGGCTGAAAATCCACTTCCACCACCTCCCCCACCACTGAATGACTGGCAAACTCAAAAGATGGATGAATTATGGAATATGCTATTGCTGTTTTTGATCAATTAAACTCAGAGATAATTAGACCATAAATGGAAGCTCTCCATTTTGAGTTAAAACCAGTGATGTTTAATATGTTGCAAACCAATGACCAGTTCAGTGATTTGCCATCTGAAGATCCACACTCACACTTAAAATCATTCATGGAAATAACTGACACTTTCCTTATCCCAGGAGTATCTAATGATGCTCTGAGACTCACATTGTTTCCTTTTTCTTTAAGGGATAGGGCAAAGTCTTGGTTCAATTCCTTACAACCAGGATCTGTGGATTCTTGGAATAGCATGGCAGAGTAGTTCTTAAAAAAATATTTTCCTCCCACTCGGAATGCTAAGTCCATAAACGAAATTTAGTTTTTTAAACAAATGGACGATGAGGCCGTTTCCGATGCTTGGGAAAGATACAAGGAGCTATTAAGAAAATGCCCCCACCATGGCATTTCATACTGTATACAGCTAAAGACGTTTTATAATGGGTTGAATCTCATTGCAACACAAATGCTCGATGCTACATTAGGAGGAGCTTTCACAGCTAGTACCAATAATGATGGATATAAAATCCTTGAAAAGATTTCTAATAATGGACATTGGGCTGATCCACGTGCACTAATACCACACAAAACAGCAGGAGTGCATGGCATAGATGATTGCAAAGATCAACTTGATTAAAAATTTAACAAATGGTCAAGCAACACAATCTATAGCCACCGCGCATGCTCCAACTGTTGAGTCGGTACAATGTGTGTATTGTGGTGGAGGACATCCCTTTGAACATTGTCAATCTAACTCCGAACAGTCAATTATATGGGGAATCAAAATAGATCAAAACCATTTTCTCAAACACACAATCCTGGGTGGAGACAACACCCAAATTTTTTATGGCACAATCCGACTTTAAACCCACCAATGAACAAACCGCAAGGGACTTCAAAATTTCAACCACATTAACCTCAACAGCATCATTAGGGTCAAGGTCCAAACCATCACCAATAATTTTTCATCAACAAGAAAATCAGTCATCTTTCCAAAACAAGTTTAACCAACAAGTCGAATCTTCTACTTCTTTGGAAGCAACTCTGAAAGGATTCATAAATCAAACCAACACAGCCATGAACCATCAAAACACTGCCATAAAATCTCTAGAAACACATATTAGTAAACTTGTACTTGAGGTAAGAAATAAACCGCCTGGTACCCTTCCTAGTGATATAGAGATTCCAAAGCCAATAATGAAAGAGCATGTGAAGGTAGTGACATTAAGGAGTGGAAAGAACCTCACAGAGAGTGAACATATAAAAAAATCTGTTGAACCCAAGGACCCAATTAAGATGGATGTCACAACATCTAGTTCAGATATTGTCACAACCACCTTGAAAGATAAGGGAAAATCAATAGAAATAGGACCACTTCCTAAGAAAGCAGACTTCCCCTTGTTATTTCCAAATGAAGGCAAAAAGAAGGTGTCATTTCAGAATGATATTGGAACATCTTCTTCTGAAAATAACGAGAATGTTGAGTCACCAGTCCCTCATAATGAACCTATCATCATCCAGGCACCTCCTAGTCAGTCCTCTAAGAAACTAGTCATAGCCCCTATTCCTCCTGATATACCTTTTCCACAAAGGTTGAGAAATCAGAAAGAGGAGTTGCAATTCAAAAAGTTCTTTGACCTTTACAAACAACTACATATCAACATCTCGTTGGTTGAAGCTATTGAACAAATGCCAACTTATACAAAATTCCTCGAGGACATTTTGAGCAAGAAGAAGAAACTGAACGAATTTAAGTCTGTGGCCCTAACAGAAGGTTGTAGCGCCCTCCTTTCAAATAAAACTCCCCCTAAACTCAAAGATCCCGAGTGTTTCACAATTCCTTGTTCAATAGATGGAAAAGAAATTGGAAAGGCTTTGTGTGAAGTGCTAGCATTAACCTCACGCCCTTGTCAGTATTCAATACCTTAGGCATAGGTGAGGCTAGACCAACCACAGTTTCCCTTCAGTTAGCAGACAAATCCATAGCTTACCCAAAAGGAAAAAAACTGAGGATGAATTACTCCAAGTGGATAAATTCATTTTTCCTGCTGACTTCATCATTCTTGATTTTGAGGCTGATAAAGAGATTCCAATCATCCTAGGAAGACCATTCTTAGCAACTGGTAGGACTTTGATTGATGTTCAGAAAGGAGAATTAACTATGAGAGTGAATGATCAGGATGTCACTTTTAATGTTTTCAAATCCATGAAATACCCTGACGAAAAAGATGAGTGTTCTAACTTGAGTGTCATTGAGTCCTTGTGCCACAAAGGAGTTAAATCTATGTTAGACTTAAGCAAGACTGAAGTTGTTGAGGAGATAAAACATGGAGAGGAAAGTGAGATTACCCTATACAAGATACCTTTGCTTTTGAGCTATTGGAAAGTGAGAGTGGAAAGACCCATGCCACATCTATTGAGTCACCACCAGACTTAGAGTTGAAATTACTTCCCTCATACCTGAAGTATGCATTTCTAGGAAAGGAAGGGAGATTACCTGTCATTATCTCATCCACCCTAGAAACATATTAGGAAGAGTAGTTGGTTGACTTGTTGAAACTACACACTAAGGCTATTGGATGGACCATCTCTAACCTAAAGGGTATTAGTCCTTCAATTTGTCAACACAAAATCATCTTAGAAGGCAAGAGTTTCACTTCCATTGAACCCCAAAGAAGATTTAACCCAATCATGAAAGAGGTATGAAGAAAGAAATTTTAAAATGGTTGGATGCTGGCATAATCTATCCAATTGCAAGCAGCTCATGGGTAAGCCCCGTACAATGTGTCCCTAAAAAGGGAAGT